TTATTATTATCTCTCTCTCTCTCTCTCTCTCTCTCTCTCTCTCTCTCTCTCTCTCTCGATCGTTTGCAATTTAAATAACGTATCGGATTACATTTAAAAAGTTGTTATACACGTTGGTTGGAACTGTGTATAGGTATTGGACATTATTTTAAGAAAAAGTTTGAACGATGAATATTTATTACATGGATATAATTTTATCTGGCTACGTAGCAATTCTTTTATCTTATAGATATTATTTTGTATTTACATAAAAGTTAATACAATAATGATTATATTGTATCAACATTTTCAACTGAATGAAATATTTTCAATTAAAAGAGTACTTATTATCATCAGATACTTTTATACCGTGTACTGTATGAGGTAAACGATTTATTCTTTTTGCGTCTCTATCTTTGTATAATGATTAAAATAATTGGTTATTTCGAATTGTGTTATTTTTTTCGTCCGTCTCAAGTAAAATATTATTATAAATCGATTAGAGAAAATTTGAAACGGAACAATATTTAAATAACAATCTTATTTATATTTAACAGAAACGGTGTATAAGTATTAATCCAAAACTGAAATTCATTGAGGATTATGAAAATTTAATTGGAGCCAGTCATCATTGGATATATCGAAAATGATTGAAGAACGGAAATGTCATTTGAATTTTAACTAAATCCATTTTGCATCCATTTCTCACTAGTTCAATATTAATAACAAAATGCAAATTATACCAACAATTATATTCCATTTAAAAAATTATTCTTAAATTTAATTGTTATTGTTGAAAGATTACTTACTAGTAAACCAGGTGGTTTGCAACCCATGATTAATGGAATCATCGCGAAGCAAATGGCCAGAATTACAAACAGTGTTCTCATTTTAAACGAACGTTAAAATTGTAAAATATCTATAAAAAATTGCAGCAAGGATATCATAAAAAAAGTCATCAGAGAAGTTGAGTTCGTTTGTTTGAAAAAATACAAATGTATATAATTAAAATAATAACTGACTTACCTTTTTCGATCACTTACAGTTCTCTGATCATCTTCGTTGTAACATGGGTATTTATACAATCGGTAAATCTGAAGATAATATTTTTTTCTATTTTTTGACGAAATATCAGATTGTTTTTTTTTTTTTGATCGCAGCTGATACTATTTTATCAAGATCCGACCACAAGGTAAACTTGTGGAATAAACAAATTGCGCTTATCTCTCTGTTTCTAGGAATCTTAAAGAAAAATGCCAAACCCCCTGTCGTTTCTTATCTCAGTAGAACAAGCAGTTCAATGAAACAATAATTCTTTTTTTTCCACAAATAAGATAAATACAAGGTAAATATAAGTACATGAAATGATATGTAAGATCCTCTTATATATTTTTCTGAATATCATTAACATTCAATAATACGTACATATATTTATAATATAATTTATGTATTTTATTATAAGATTTATAACATATTTAAATATTTTTAATAATATAATAATTATAATAAAATAAATTGATAATAATATATATATAATAATACAATTATGATTCTAATTTATAATATAATGATAAATAATAATTATTATAATAATATAATAATGCATTTGGAGAAATAACATGTTTACACGTTTAAAATTTCATATAATGTACATAAATTAGAAACACGTGGAATAATCGAAGATAATCGCGAGCAGCTGTTATCGATTGTTGTAAAACAGATTTCGAATTCGTGCTCCTACATCACGATCGGTATTTTCGAAATCAAACTTTTATATCTTGTTTCCGGGTACGTCATTAATTCCTCGATAGTATAATTTGAAAGTATAACAAACATTTGGCGTTTTCGTCCATTCGTTCGATCGAATCGTCCAGTTCGACTGGGTTACAAAGTAAACGAAATTGATGCAAGCAGTTAATTTGTATGATTGAATTTTGTACGACGTTGTGTACTCATTATTCTGTTTATTGTTAACCAGGACAATATTGGAACTTGATGTAAGAGTTCTATGTGTTCGACAAATTTTTATCTCGACAAATCGAAATAAAAATTTTACTTATTGTCCTTATCGCGACTATTATTATGCTTCGAATAATCTCTTTCTATTATTTAGTAACTATTTATTCTCTCTCTCTCTCTTTCTCTCTCCTCTTAATCCAATAAATTATATCGTATAATCCTTAATCAGTTTGTCGCTTTAATCGTTTTGCTTATTGTTTTACAAAATATATTATTTTGATAGATCTAATTGATCGAATAAAATGTTTCGTTATTAAGCTCCATGTATTTTAATCTTAATGAAATAAATGAATAATAATAGTAATAAAATGTAAATGATATTTCTATATCTCGTAGAAGATAAAGGGAAGAAGTGTAAAATTAATACGAGATATCATATTTATATTTATTTATTATGCATATTTATTTATTATTAGGTTGAAGCTTTGAATGAATGAGAGTATGCGTCAACGTATGTGTCAACAGATGGACTTTCAGAATCACCGCTTTCATTAAAATAAGCGGAATAAACAGTCGCATTTATTTGTATTTATTGATTAATATTATATTGCAAATTCTAATTAAGAATCGCGAGTAATTAATGTTTAACTATGAAATAATTATTTTATGCTGCTGTAATCATATTATATTTAACCGTTTCTCTTTTAAAGATAAAATTTCGATACAAAAATACGAGAAACGATGATAAAATCTTCAGGCACGATGGTAAGTAAGTCAGGCTTAAATATTGAAAAAAAGAGTTCGTGACATTACCAGGATTAAGATTAAAGAAAAAAAAACTTCAATGAAATCGAAATAACTGCATCGAAGCATTATTATCGATATCATTATACGAAGGGTCAATTATGCATATAAGAGCACAAGCTATAACAAATGAATATTCCCTAAATAAAATGAGGTATTATGAAACAAGTTAGTTGGAACTTTTGTGGTTACAAAGGATTGTTTGTTCGTGAATATGAGCAAAGTATTTTTAGATAATATAACTTTTGAACTCGCTTCATCTCTTCAAACGATATTTTACGTTTATGGTAATGAGGTCGATCAATTTGCCTTCTATATTGCTCATGTATAATTTTTACAATGCGAGACGAAGATAAAGACGTCTCGCTCCACGTCTATCTCATCTCATTTAATAAAAATCTTACCAAATAAATGAATATGTCTCAATATTTTTGCATCGTCAAACATTTGTGTTTGATTTTGATCTCTGGATTTCTGATCTTTCGAATAATACATTCCCTATCGTTCTTCTCATTAATTTTTGTATTTCCTATAAAAGTTCGTACCAATTTCAAATTATAATAAAATTTAACTAAACGAATTCTTTTCCTTTAAGATATATTTGACTCTATAAAAAACTTATGTACAATCTACTTTTAATTCATATTAATATTAATCACTTTTACGAATATACAAGTGTATTTCCCTGATACTTTTCAATCCGTATCGGCCCAGAATCCGTGAAACCCGAAAAAATATCGCGATCTGACGTTGGTCGTAATTGTCGATCGCATTTTTTTCCGCAGCCTGTCGACGATAATTGGCGTAACACCGGCGTAATATTTCAAAACACCTGCCGTGTAACGCGTTCACATGTCGTACGGCCTATCAAAACCGCCCTGTAAATTGATTCAATTGTCGTTCCCCGAGGGAAAGAGAGAGGACCTCCTCGCGCGCTTATTTTTTGGGAATCCGGAATAAATCCGTTAACCGCTATTACTTTCTTTCTCTCTTTTTCCTTTTTTTCTTTCCCTTCCCCCCCTTTTTTTATTGCTGTCGTCGCTTCCTTCCTCTCCCCCTTCGATTCCATCCCGTGTTTCTCGGGGCTAAAAATTATTTCCGTGCAATCGAACGCTTCACTCGGCACGAAAACACGCAGCCGATAAACTTCCAAGCTGAATGTTTCAAGGCGTTAAATCGAGTGCAACGTGTTCCTTAATCGTGACTGAAATTGCTTTTTCCAAGCTTGTTATTTCGAAAATGATTCTTTTTGATTTCCCGGCAACACTGCAACAAGTGGCAGGGATGCTTATAAGAAAAAATTCGTGCAATATTGAAAGAATGAATGCAATTATGTGATTGAGTATAGAAGTATAGATATTTTCTATAATGTATTTAGTATTAAATAATGGTTTTAAATTTGTGTATTTATATATGATGAAAGAAATGAAAGAAATTTAAGCGTGAAGTTTATTTTTTTTTTTTTTTTTTTAGAGAATGTCATTAAACTTGTATCGCATTTAAAGGAATTAATGGGAAGAGAATATAGAAAGTAATACGATTAAATAGACACGTAGACAGAAAAGAAAATAGTTTTTTAATAATGTAAGAATAGGCAACTTAATAAAATTAACATGCATTGCAATGGAATCTTTTATTATCAAAATATTCATTTTTTTTTATTATGATCATAAAATTGTTACAAATATGAAACTTCCATAATAAATGTATCCTATTTAAAAGTTACATTTTCTATATTTGAAAGTATATCGGGAAATTTTTTTAATTAAAAAATTGTTCTATTTGATATTAAAATTGCAAAATATTATGAAATACGAAAGATTCTGTATCATTCGATGGATGGAAACAATAGTTTGCCGTTGCGCGGCATTAAGAATGTATTAGAAAAAACAAGACGATAGAAACAATTGAACGATGTTGAAATGAAATAAATATTTAGAGTTGGCTTTCAAATGTTTTTTCGTTTGAAATCGAATTAATTAGGATATGTTTTCGTTCTCATTTCCAATTTTAAATCGTAAATGGAATTTTTCGTTAAAAACGTCGAGCAATATCGCAAGATCAGATAGGATTTTTACGAAATTAAAAAGAGCGATATCGAGAGGTTTGGAAAACACGGTTGGTAAACGGAAAAAAACATTATAAAATAAAACGCATCGTCGAAAGTTACAAAGTAACGAAATTTATTATTTGCACGATCATAAAGGATTTACAAAATCATTTATGGAATTCAATATCATTTGTATTATTAAAATTTTATCATGGAACATATTTACGCCGGTGTTGGAAACGCAGTCACCAATTTCACCTTAAAAAATTTCAAATCGCGCGCTGATATCGCTTATCGCTTTCATTACATATTCATTAATTTTTTTTCATGGTATCCGTAAGATCGTTATATATTAAGATTTACATGTATTTTTAATACAAATTGACGATCTGATAGAGAAAATGTACGATCCGATAGATTGATAAATTTCTACCTCATTAATTGTATTTATTTAAATCAATATTATAATTAATTTCAATGAAAATATCGTAAATCTGATTTTGTAATGATGAATTTATGTATTATAATTTTATGGAAGTTTAACATTTTAACTTTATACTCGTTTCGAAATTCTTTAACCCTCTCATTGATAATCGTCTCTTTTATACAATAATAATCCTACTAATTATATCAGTGAATTAACAAATTATATCAAAATTTATCTTTCAAAATTTATTATCTTGCAAATTTATTTATCTCATCATCAATTTTCTTATCGTTATAATGGATTAACTTGCAAAATATTACTAATCAGTATTGGAATTATTACAAATTATATTTTCCTAATATTTTTTAATTCACAATTTTTAATATCATTATTAATGATACGAGAAGAAAAAAATTATCAAGAAGGATATAATGCAAACGCGATCGATTACAACAATTATCCCTTTTTGAAAATTTAAAATCTCTAACTCAGCAATTCGTGTCTTCTTACAAGGTCAAATTACACTCATTGACGAATAAAATTTATACGATACACGAGTTGTACACCGGTAACGTGTTACCAGTTCAAAAACGAAGCTCGCGTTAAATTTTCCAAATGTAAAGAGAGACGGAGACACGATACGCGCGATTACGGCCGTGCGAGCGAGACGGAGCATCGAGAGAGGG